GGATATATATTTTATACAATTTTAAACCTGACAATGTAATTCGAATGTTAGCCAGATTTTATCGCAGTCATCGATGATATTTTTCTTTTGTTCTCCCCATTTTGTGTCTTAATTTATAAAAATTAGTGTGATTAGAAGGGACATTTAAAATTTCAGTATAAAAATATTAGCTAGTGCTAATTGCTTATACTTGATATCAACGAGTGAATTAAACTCATCAGTGTTGTATTTTCTTGTAATGCACATGTATAGTTTCTTAGCAAACAAGTTTCTAACAATCATAAAACTATTTACGAAAAGGCAAAAATATTAAGCATAAGCAACGGTTCTGCTTTCTGATTCTTAAAAGAAAAGATGCAATTTTATTTCTTTTAAAACCTTTCAGCGTGTTCGAATAAAATCCTTGTTGAATGCAATTCTAAATTTTTTACCCTAGCACTCAAAAGATACAGCAAAGAAATACAGCTTCTTTCTCAACATTTTTTGCCTCGTTTTACCTGCGATGTTTTCACATATATGCCTACGAAGTAAGCTAGATATATTGAAAGCGGAACTCAGAATTTCATTTCTATATTTGTTGCTACTGAATAGCTGCAATTTCTTTAATTCGCTTTTTTTCTCGCATTGCTAGAATCCCTTATTTTTAACAGAAAGAAAAATGTGAAGATACTGGTATTTCAAAGCAACCTAAAACATAAAAATAATACCGAGTTCCGCTGCAATAATGTCTATCTTTAATTTTGCTTTTACTTTCCTTTTTCACGCTCAACACATAAGCATCTTTTCTAATTAAATCTTTATTACTAAAAAAATATGGAAGGACCGTTTTAAATCCCTTGCGAAACTTCTCCCATTATGCGATCATTTTGAAAAGCTTCGCAGAAATAGTTTAGAATTAAAATGAAAAGGTTTCTTTTCGGATGATGGCAATTAAATAATTTAAATATGCTTTTTAGCGCTTAATGTAAATAGCAGCAAAAATCTGCAAACGAGAAAGAGAAGAATCTCTTTATAAATTGAGTAAGTATTTATGAATTGAGTGAGTGTAAATTTTTATTCTTTAACTTCCTAAAATTTTCTTTCCTATACTTTAAGAACCATCAGTTTTATTCTCACACGAAGAAAAATCTCAAGAGTAGAAGCAATGTAATATTACTCTAAATAGCACCTTTCTCATTTCGAATTTTTAAACATAGTGGTTGCAAATTGTAGGTTCTGAAATGTTTGAAAGTTCTATTTGAAAGTTCTATTCTATGATCTTAATATATTTCCTGAAAAAACAATGTAAAATTCCTTCTTAAAAATGCATTTGTTTTAATAAGATGTAAGATTTGTCATTTAAATTTATCATTTCGATTTATTTTAACTTAATTAACCGATTCCTGAAGGCAAATTGAAAATGACATTTAAAATTGCAAATTTTGAAGTTAAATATCCAGTCAATTTTTGTCGTACGAAAGTCAAACTTTTTGTACTTTAATTTCTTAATATAAAGTTTACTAAATATAAGTATAGCAACAGGAAGACCGCATTAAAAGTTAGATTTCGTCATTTTTCGAAAATTAAAAATTAAAAATAAATTAATTTCAGTTTGCCAAAATTTGAGCATTTTCGTCATTTTAAACACTTCTGTAGTTGGAAATATATATGATTGCTACCAACAATTGCGTGTATATATATATATATATATATATATTTACGTAAGATATAACAAAATGCGATAGCCGCTTTAAAAATAATTGACGATCTCAAAATTAACATTGTAAATTTGGTGCTCTCCTCCTAAATTCATTTGTTCTTCCAAATTCGAGATCTTTTGACGTTACGTAATACTGCTTGTAAAAGGTAACTAAAACTAATATTGACCAATCATAGCTTGTTTCTAGAATTGCACCTACTCTATTATAAAAACCTCTGGTTCTGCGTCATTCTTCCGCTAGCTTTGCTTCCCCGTCTGAACAGCCTACGTCTTAAATTTAAGAATCAATTTACATAGTAATTTATCGTATTTCGTTATCATTGAATCGTAGAAATGTCTCGGATTTCATTGTGATTAGATAAACATCTACGGAGATGATTTTATATGCGTAGAAATAAAGACTGGAAATTCGTCAAGGTCATGTTTTGTTGTGTTCATCTGTAAGCCTTCACTCTCAGCAACGATGACTGCAAGTCGATTCCTCTTCTATGTTTCCTGGAATTATCACATATATATGTACACTTCGGGAAACAAAGGGACAGTTCTATACCTCCCGTTTTACTGGGCCGATTGACAAATTTGAAATTGCATTTTTCACGTTCCGAAAGCTCGACTTAGGATATATACTAAACTTATATATAGCATTGTTAAAATATAGGTATTTTGACACAAAATCGGACTTTTTCTGAAATAACATACCAATGTTTTCCATATTTCGATTGTACGACTCAAATTATGCCTAGATGCCTAGATTAATTTTGTAAGATTTGGGGCGAAATTTACGGAGAAATTCAAAAATTTATCTAGGCACAATTTTTTCAGGTTGCGCCAAGAATAATTCACTTGGCGAACTTCTTAATATGTGCCAATCGATTTTCCTTTTGCTTCCATTATGCCGGAGCGGGAAAGAAAGACACCTTGTTCCTATCTTTTTTACATTGTGCATGAGCAGAAAAAAGTCACTTCGTTTCTACTCCCAAATAATTTTAGCAAAGTGTTTAAACTGTCTAATGTTGATACTTTATCGTTTTTAACTAATATGCCAAATTTCAAAACACGCGAATATATAAATTCCCGTATATCTTCGGAAATTCTGAATAAAAAACTCTAATTTTTGCAGGTATGCTTAGAAATACGTCTACTTTAATATGATGGTAAAAATTTTATAGGTTATATTTCAAAAAATATTTTTGGAAAAATTTATAAATATTATTTAAAAATACAAATTTTAAATTAAATCATAAAAAATGGGTGAATTTTATTTGGAATGAATTAAACTTCGAAATGTGAAGGGAAGAATCAAATAAGTTTAATAAAAAATCTTATGTGTACACCTCATGACTTCCTTGTACGGAGTATTAAATTATACGCATTTTTTCTTGCATTTCGTTTAAACTTATTACATTGAATTAAACCTACTTCGCCGACAGCGCGTAAACCACAATAGAATAAATGCATTCTTTAAAGTTCACTTTGTTTACCATAGCGACACTCTGGCGCTAGGTTTACTTAACAGTATTATATTTCGTTCATATTATAACTCAGAATGCATAAACTTATAACATTTAAAGAATTATCTAACCGTTGCCACATGTTCTATTAAAATACTATAATAAAGCTAGAACGATGTATAAAAGAAATTAAGCAAACAAAACAAAACAGAAATAGTTTTTCACGGACGATTGAGTATTTCTCATTCAATTAATTCAGTTTTCCCTTCGCGACAAGGCAAAAATACATAAAAACTCAAAATATCTGTATTAAAAATTACGAAGTAAATCTTAAACGCTTATTTCCTCGAAAAAATTCCAGAAAGGATTAAGCATGATTTAAATAATAAATGAAGACGTTATCTTTGTTGTTGCGAAGCTAAGTTTCTGTAGATTGGCAACAAATCCGCTATCCTGCTGTTTCAAATGTAAACAAGAGCAATGGCCGCCATCAAAAACATTATTAGGCTTAGCGGCACTTAAACAATTTTAGAATTGTTGATAATTCTAAAACTATTGCATACAGATTTATTAAAGGCATAAAAACCTTAACCGGAAGATAAGAACAACATAATTCAATCATTTTTAAAGCAAAAAATGTACAATTTACAAACATATAAGAGTAAAGAAACTGAGATATCTGAGCCGGGTAACAGAGTGGATATACATAGATAAATATATTTATATAATTTTGGTGCGGCCGATTGCAACCAAAATACGAGGTGCACATCTACATGTTATATACAGTCCTATATACAAAATTTCAACATTCTGAGGCTACTCGTTTTTGAGTTATGCGAGATACGTACGTTACATACGTTCGTACGAAAGACAGATGCCACGAAAAAAATTCTCTTCAGAATTCATTTTTTTAAAGCAGTTTTATGATTTTTTGGAGGAAAAGAGTGTTTTATTCTGTCCTTACATACAGATATCACGGAAATACATCGTTAAATTGTATTTGAAAGAGGTCAAAATGGGATATTTGCGTTGAAATATGCTGCCTGAAACTTTTCGCGATAACAATACTTCTTTTTTATTTCTTACAAGGAAGTAAAAAAGAGAGATTAATAAATATATGCCAAACTCAATTAATATTGAAAAGAAAAAAATTTGAGAGCTAATTTTTTAAAAAAATAGTTGTGCGATTTTTAAAAACCTTTGTAGTTTGACGTAGTTTGAGTCGATGGAAAAAAAAAATTGGTATGTTATTTCAGAAAAAGTCCAATTTTGTGTCAAAATAGCTATATTAGAAGAATGCTACATATAAATCTAATACACATCCTAAGTCGCACTTTCGAGACATGGAAAACTCAAGTTGAATTTCGTCAAACGGCCCAGTAGAACGGGAGATACAGAACAGTCCCATTTTTTATTTTTTCGCAGTTTATCTATATGGCCACTCGCCTTATTCGGGGTTTATTACCGCAGAATCATATATATATATATACACACAGGTCCTTCTTGAACCCATTTTGCAATCAATTTTGAAATAAAGAGTTTCGAGAATGGTCGAACATTTGCATTGAAAATATGATAACGGAAACTTTTCTTCATTGCAATACTTCCTTTACTTCGTTCAAGGAAGTAAAAATAAATAAATATGTGTACGCATGAAAAACAAGTAACCTTAGAGAATACAGGATTTCATTTTCAGATTTTCAAAAACATTCTCTGAATAGCTTCTAGTGTATTTTATTTTTAAATTAAACTTAACACGATGCGTGATTAAAACATGCGGAATTTTCTTCATAGTTTATTTAATATGGGCCTCATTTCCTTTCTAAAATTTAACATTAAAGAGTACTTACCATTAAGAGACCTTTATACGCATAGATTGAGCCTAAAAATATCGTCATGTTATTACTTTGACAAAACTCTAACTCTGGAATAATTTCTATGTCTTCATTTTCCGGAGAAGGCTAAAAAGGAATAAAAAGAAAAAAAATTATTAATATACGTAAAATAAAATATGATTCATATTGTTAAATTACATGCCATGTTGTATATAAGTTAAAATACCCAGTAATACCATACGTAACAAATAAGGGTATTATTTTAACAAGAAATCCTATGAGACATTTTATTAAAATAGTCAACTAGAACTATCACTAAATGCTATCTAGGAAAGAAACTGAATCATTTTTAATTCAAATCGACACAGTTTTTCATAATGATAGAATTAAGTTACATTACATTTTGTATATATTACACATATTTTGGCCGTTCGGATGGATATTTTGGCTTAGGATTTATATAGTGACGTGAGGAAATCTGCATAAATGTATGTATATTTCTCTCATTGTGATAAAACAACGGTACATAGAGCCATCGAATTTTGAATGTCGTAATACTCCTACGAATATGGACATGAGGAAGACAAAATTTGAAATTTGGAATTTGTTTTTTTATCGATTTCATATTTTGTAAACTTTTAACGAATTTTTTTATTAACAAACTCGATAAAAGTTTACAAAAACATTTTCAAAGCGAATTCGAAGTGGATTTCAAAGCGAACAATAGCAACACTCTACGGGGGCCGGAACCTTTTTATCTCTAGCGCGCGGTACTGTGTATCGGAAATTCCTCCTTTCTGTATGTCTTCGTGATGTTAAGGTAGCACACTCGAGGCGTGTTAGAGATGTCCAGGTTCAAGTCCCGGCAAAGGCATTGCTCAGTTTTCATACCTTCTGCTTCAAAAAAACCTAAGTACTCTACAATGGCGCCTGAACAATAAGGTGGCAAACGATATTTCTTCACCGCCAGGATCTGGCGATTGGGTCCTTAAAATCTCCAGTCGCCTTTGAAAGGAGAAGTACGTATACAAGGTATTTTCTCCTTCCTTTCGGCATACCTGTTCGGTCCCGGCGAAGGCATTGCTCATTTTTCGTATCTCCTGCTTCAAAAAAAACCTAATAACTCTACAGTTCTACTGTTTGTTAATATTACTGTTTGCACCATCGAATAAGCGGAAAAAATATTTTCATAAAACATATATGAAAATTGCAAATTAATTTCTGAATTTTTTGGGAATTTTAAAAAATTGCTCGATTTTTTCGATTATTTGACAAACGGCTTTTATTAAAATTTTAACATCTAAAAATGTGTCGGATATAAATTTTTGAAATGTTTACAGATTATAAAACAAACATTTTGTCCTCTTTTTAAAACAAGAATGAAAAAAAAAGTGTTAACTCAGCGATTTTCTACACTTTTAGAAAAATGTATCACAGTCTGTAGCAGAAGGAAGTTTTGAGTTTGCTATCTTGGCGCATTTAATGACGAGGTTTGTCAACTTGACGCATTTAACGAAGAATTGGCGACATTCGCCTTTTCATTTTAGCATCGAGTAAAATTATTGTTGCAACATTGGTATTACATTCAATTTTCGAAATTGAATATTCAAAGCGATTCCTTTATTCTCTCAATTCTAAATGACGTTCAGTTATTTGCCTGTATTTCATCATTTTCTAATAATTTACAGCTTGTGTTTTAACAATGACTAAAGACTTCATTAATAACGTGTACTGAGACTAATCTATCGAAAATAAAGTATGAGTTAAAAAATAGGTTTTTATAAAATATGCTTTTAATTAAAATTGATATGGTAATTAATGCACGAAAAAGAGAAAAATAATTTAACATATATTGTAATTGGAATAATATATAAAATAATTTTATCTACAGAATTCATTTACAATTTTGTATTGCGAAAATAAAAGTGTGGAGCCCCTAAATAACGACGTCTATTCATGTAATTGCATTGTCATTTGTATTAGCCGTTATCTTAAATTTTCAGTTCCTTTGATTGCATTGTCAAATATATAGGCAATTATCATTTTAAATTTTCCATTAATTTAATTGCATTCTTAAATATCAAATGTATCTTTTTTGATTTATCATGGGAGCACCACGCTTCAATTATTCGCGATAAAAATTGTAGATGAATTCAGTGAACATAATTATTTAATCTATTATTCTGTATCTTCTAATTACTTCTCTACTTTAATTATTGAATCTATTATTCTGTATCTTCTAATTATTTCTCTACTCTAATTAATTAATCTATTATTCTATCTATTATCAACATATTATTCTATCTATTATTAATATATTATTCTATGTAATTACTTTTTTATTCTAATATTTATTTTACTATTCTATCTATTACTCTCTCAAACTATATGATAAACAGTCTTTCTCTTTTTATATCAATTATTTTCTCTTTTCATTATAATATTTATTTTAAATATAACTTATTGTATAATTAAAAAAAAATAATTCATTTAACATTAATTTTATGTTTTGAAAATAGAGAGAGAGAAAAAAATACGAAATGTAGACCATTTCTGCGGGTCAAACATTAATGAAAATTTTAAGACATCATAAAGAACATGTAAACACGTATTATTTTAATCTGTATTTCTAAGGTTTTAATTCGAAGAATATTTCTTTTACTTAAGTCATTATGTGTGTACAAATTTTACATTGATATGCTTCTTGTGCGTTGGAAAAGATATGGGGAAATACGCGAAGGGAGAAGTGTGCGAATAAATGCGGTCAAATATTTGTGTGTCTCTGAAAATTGAAAGCTACTAATAAGTTGCTGGAACTAATCTGCCAGATTTCTCAGAAGCTACTGAAATTTTCCCACATGGCAGCCTTATGAATAATGGCCTTATCATATTTAACGACGCGCAAGCAATAAGGAACATTCTGAAAACGCATTTCTCCCATAATTAGATTGAACCGGAGGTTTCTAGCCACAGCTTTTGGGCAATTCTAGTGTTCAGTGTTGCTCAAAAGCGCACATAACCACACTGTTTTACGATTGGGGGGAAACACAGATTTTATAGTTCTGTTTTTCGTAAGAAAGAAACTAATCAGAGGAAAGTTCTACTCCTGTATAGTAGGCTACTAGATGATCTTTTGCATATTTCCGGGAGAAGCGTGATTCCCAGAAATGTTTCTTATTGAGTTTCGCGGTGATAGCTCTTAAAACTTTCGTCCTGCTTCTATAGGAAACATTGCAAACCTTGTTCTGAGTCCACCGCTGTTTTTTCTGTGAAACAAATTCTAATGCATTCGTGGGGCCAGCAAAATTTTGATAAAGTTGAATCGAGTATTGATGAAAGGGGAGTCATCGATATTTAAATGCTTGTTGGTACTAATTTTTACTTTGGTTCTTTTGTTTTGTTCTCTATTAAATTACAGAACATAATTTTCTTAAATTATGTCCTGTCAATAAGTTTTGCCTTCGTGGAGAATATCGGAAAAATTGTCTTGTATTTACGTCACTCTCGGGAAAAATCGTGAAATTTTTGCATAGATATCTGCGGGGTGTCCGCCGAAAACATCGAAAATACAACAACGCAAGGCGAAAACGTCGCGGTACAAAACATCATGGGAGAAAAGAAAACAAAGAGGAAAGACTACAGTTCTAAAAAATATCGTGGTGCAAAATATCTTCATCGAAAATAAAGCTGTTCGAAAACTTTTTAGTTTAAAAACATCGCCGTCGAAAATATCGCGGTAAAAAATAAAGGACCTGCAAAATTGTTGCATAACCACAACATCGCAGGCATGCGTTTTCTGGGCTTTAAAAGATGTAAAGGCTTATTCACCTAATGATTTTGGAGCGCAAAAGGCACGTGCAACTTTATTATAGGATATAGGAATTCTGTTGACTATAACATATTTCAAACCTTACAGATACATAATTTTTTGCTAATCTATGGCTTTTTCTAATCTATGGTGCCATTTCATGCGTATTATTTAGCAGGGTCCTGTTATTTAGGGGGTTGCGAATATTGTGGGCAATAGAGAACTACAGCCAAGGTTTCAATAACAGGCAAAGTGTTAAAGAAGCATGGCATGGATTGTTTCATAATAGTTTCCAAGCACGAAGTGGGATTTGACATGATTTGGCAGGTGTCTCATGTTTTTCTTCCGTCCATTTTGCCAGCCTAAAAGGGAAAGAGATTGCTTGGGAAAGGGCATGTTGCGATTTTCTAAGCAGTTGAATATTATAAATTACCGTACTTTTCTTCCCGATATTTCAGTAGGACTGTTTCATACATATGATATTTGTCCTTTTTCATTCTAAAGTTTTCCGATATTTCTTTTAGTAGCAGCTGTATACCTGCTATGCGTAAATAAGTATCATACGGTAAGGGAAAGTAATTTTCCCATTAATAATATAGCTGTCCTCAAAATAAATTGCGTTAGCGTTCTCGGGATACACACTTTACAGAATTAAAGTGCATTCTGTACCATATTTTAGTGCCAGATCTAAAAGGTATATATTGTCAGTTATAAAATTTCACAGAAAATAAATAAATAAATAATTTAAAAAAGTGAATATTGTAAAAATAATGAAAATAATAAAGTTCTCCAAATAAAAATTCTATCGTTTTATATGTTCCTTATAGAGTAAAAGCCCAGGCTAGTTAAATATTTCTCATACTCTAATAAATTAAGAAGAAAAAAACATAATCCCAACTAAACACGCAAAATTCGCAGAGGTAATTGGAGAGTGAATGAACTGAATTACATCCGTTTTTAATGAATACCACTTATCAAAATATGAGATTCTTCAAACATATTTGGAGAGCAACTATAAAACAAAAGTTACTCAGTTACATTATTAAAGTTACATTATTATCATCGACACTCAATAAGTTAGCATTCGTTGTTAAATTTTAAATTGGCTCCATCAAATTATTATTTGTATACATCTATGGAATTTTGCATGTAAATTTGCTAGATGTTTTCTTTTTTATATAGCTGCATAAAGTAGGATTAATATTTAATAACTAGAATTTGTATTCTAAGTATAAGCGTTGAATGTAACAAATAACAATTAGATTCCTCTAGCTGGCAGGGCTCACCACATCTACAGCGTTGAAAAGTATTTTATACA